CCCAATTACCGGAACCGTATCAACCATATCGGGAGAAAGATGAAAGAAATTGAAGAAGAATGAGGAAGACGATGAGGAATTAGAAGTTCCGGTGATGTGATAAACTCAGGTGAAGAAGACGAGTTGAAAAAATTTGGCCCTATTTTTTTGTCCTTTGATGATGATGACATGGAATGATGACATGGAATGTTGCATCCACGTCATTTTTTAATTGATGAAGTGGCAAGTAAGCCACCAAACGAAAATGTAAATCAGCTTAAGTAAACCAACCACCAAACAAAACTTTAACTCAGCCGCAACATGAATACTATTACAGTAATTAAAAAACGAAAAAACGGCAGCCAAATTCAGCTGTTTACTGTCGTAACTCAACCAAAAATATTTAACTCAGTCGTGTCGTTTAATAAGTCGGCCGTCATTGCATGCTATTCTAGTAATTAATCTTTCGCTATTAAGTCAGCCATAATAAGGCCGAGTTTTCCGTTAATCCAGCTCATTACGGCTGATTTATGATACTCGAACATAAATCAGCCGTAATGTCATCCCATAACTAAGCCGTCTTTGATAACTCAGCCAGCCGGAGAAAGTTAAGTCAGCCGTGTCGAAGCAATAACTCAGTCAAAAATTTGACAAATCAACTATCGGGTGAAAACTCAGCCGTAACTTAGGCTGGGTTATGCTCGAAAGTCAGCCATTTTATCATAACTCAGACAGATTTCAGTAAGTCAGCCATAACTCCAGGCTGGGTTATACTCGTAAGTCAGCCGTTTGCTCATAACTCAGACATTTTTCTTAAATCAGCCGCAACATACCGTAACTCAGCCGTCACTGCCGCTATATCGCTCGACGGCTGAGTTCATTAATACACGTCAGCGATTTCTGACGTGGCGATGCGGCTTTGCTGACGCGGCTTTGCTGACGTGGCAGTGGCATTCTTTGTAATTACGTTTTTTCCTGTAACGTTTAACAGGGGCACGCTGGGTATAAAAAATATATCCGAAATATGATAGTAATAAAAAAAAGATCTGTATGTTTCTGGTAATTTCATATAAAATGTATAACATCTGAGTAAATCTCCCTAAAATTAAAAATAAAAACAGTGTCCTCCATATTACCAAACTGGCCATACAAAGGAAGCAAGAAATAACATGGCAAATGATCTAATTCAACTAAAATGGTTGTCCCCACAATTTCTTCACATAGTTCCTTGAGAAAGATGAAAACAAGAAATAAGAAATAACATACCTAGCAAGAACTTCAAGCTTGGATTGCCAGAAACTTATCTTCTTCTTAGAAGTCAAAGCATACCCAATAACCAGTTTCTTTTGCTGTTAATGAACTTGTTCAAAGGACGCCGTATCAAGTCCCACTTGACCTTCATCTGTCTCATTTCCCATTGGCACCATATTATTATCTCGCATACCTAATAAAAACAAAAACCCTCAAGCACACACAATCCCCCAAAACCTTGACTCAATCTCACAGTTTCAATTTCGAATTGATAAGACCCAAAAAGAAAATTCCTCAAAGATAGAATCTTTCTTCACTTACATGGAGATTGATCACTGCTTCGTAAATAAAATTTGTTTGTACCGAAGCTGTAACAATAAATATGTAAGGGGTTTTAGGGACAACGGAGCAGCTTCTTTATAAACGATGAACGCGAGAACAGTAACTTACAGAATAGAAAACCGAAGTACAGAACGGAAAACCAAAAAATTAGAGATAAATGAGCTAGGCAACAATTCTCTCTTAAATTATCTGGGTAATGACTTCACCTCCGGATCCTGTTCCCAACGGTGTCGCTATTTGTAGGCTAGGGGTTGATCGTCATGGTTTGACGACGACGACGCTTCTCTTGGGTCTACGATCTCAACTCTCTCTCTCCTTAAGCGGCTCAGGTCTAGGTGCCTCTTACTCACGAGCTCCCTCTCTGCTCCTCCATGACACTCACAATGATATCTCACAACAGTGACAACAACGACTTACAGATCGATATTCACTTGGTTGATGAGGTTGGTTTAAGGTTTCACGTTGCTTCTTACTTTCATATGGAGGCTGACCATACGTACACATATATATATACACAAGACACAGCGAGGACGAAAACCCTTTTCGAGCAATTGGGACTTAAATGAGCTATATGATTTTATCAAAACAATTTGGCCCTACAATCAGAGAGCGGGGTGTTACATTGCGCCTAGTCGACTCATAACTTACTTGGTCGGAAAGTCTTGTCTAGGGCTTTGGAGTTAAGTCTTGTGTTATGTATATGAACGTATTAAATTGAACGTTGCCCAATGGCTTTGTTAATATATATGCCAACTGAGCCGTTGTTGGCACATGAACTGTAGTAATTATGAGATCTCACATACATTTACAGAGTGATAACATAATGTTATCATCAACATAATATAAATTTTTCTAAACAAAAAAAATAGCTTGTACAACAAATAATAGAGACTTAAAATATTCTTCGGTTTGGGTTTCACGGGCTTTACTTTATAAATGGACTTCAACGGTCCATATTACTTGGTCTGCAAGATACACATCTTGCTCTCCAAATTATCTCCAATACTCTCACGCAAAACAAAGGTGGGACGCGCAACACAGAATATGCAATCACAAAAAAAACACCAATGTCGTGGATATCATGTTGAGGACACTACATGTAAAATGGCTTTTCTTAGCATTTTAATAACGCTATCTAACTATACCATAACGTTTTGTTAAGCGCTATTTAACTTGTAGTGGGACAGACAAATCATGTCAACAGACTCTTCAGGGTATAAACTTCAGTTTTGAAAAGAGGATGGAACTTCAGCTTGTCTTCGATGTTGGTAAAAGGGCCTAACAACATCACGTGGACGCAAATCCTGCAACTCTATAGATAATCGTCTTTATCTCGACCAATCCGCAAATCGGACTAAAAATGTCTTGAAAACATAAGCATTCTAAACAACACCTTCATAATATGAGAAATATAAATTCATAATGATTTTTTTTTCTTGAGATATTTAAGAATATATCTCATTAAAAAATACTTGTGAAAATCCGGAACCTAAAACTCAATTATCCGAAAGATCACTAATACCTCTTGTCGTAGAAAGCATAATAAAATTTTAGAATTATTAAAAAACCAAAACAAAACCCCATTAACTGTTAATCAAAACTCAACGTAACTCAAACCCCACTTTTCTTTGCTTCACGTCATCATTCGATAGTCTCTGTCGGGTTCGTCTTCATCACCGCCATCTTCTTCGACGATCATTGTTTCATCACAAAATTATTAATGAGAAGCTTAACATCAATCCACTAGAATAGAAGGATCTGATACCATGTCAAATAATATATAATATCATAGTTTATTGAGTTCGAGAATATTAATTCTTCGGTTTGAGCTTCACTGGCTTTATGTTATAAGCGGACTTTAACCGTGTATATTAATTATGTCAAAAAAAATTTGGGAAAAATGTCATTTAATAGCCGAACTTTCAAATTGTGGCCATTTGGCACACCAACTTTACATATGGCCAATCGTTGACTTCCGTTTACCACATGACAAAATCGTTGACCAAGCCAAATCAACAAGCCGTTAACAGATTCGCTAACACCCGTTAACACCCGTTAAGCCCCGTTAAAACCTCCGTTACTTCCCAAAACGAAGTCGTTTTGGTTTTAATCGAAACTTCAAAAAATCGAAATCCCAAATTCTGAGAAAATCAAATCCCTAATTTTTCGAAAGAGATTCTCCGATGAACTAGCAATTGTGAATCGTATCGAGGATTGGGTCTGTAATTGAAGCTGAAATGCAAGGCGAATTAGATAGAGAAGAAGGGGTTGTCGTCGGAGATGGAGTTCCATGTCCTCCGACGGAAGAAGCTTCAGAGTTAGCTGGCGGAGCTCAATCTTCTACCGGAGCTAAAGGTCGAGCTTCAGGACGGTGTCGGAAACGAAAAAGAGTCAGAAATGAAGAAGAGGAGGATGAAGAGCCTGAAATGGTGCATGAGCCTGACATCGAAGATGACTGCTCCGTGTATGGTGATGAAGACTGTGATGCTGTTGATGATGCAGTTGGTGGTGGAGATAATGATGTTGTTGATGATGCAGTTGATGGTGGAGATAACGATGATAATGGTGGTTTAGCTGTGGAAGAGAATGTTAACATGGAAGAAGATTTTCCCGAAGCTTTAAGAGGAGACCAAGGTGATACAGATTCTGACAGTGGGGATGATATCTGGGAGGATGACAAGATTCCAGATCCTTTGTCATCGGACGACGAAGATGAAGACAGAGCCGAGGAAGAGGGAAATCAAAGTGAAGAAGAGGATCCAAAGGTGTTGCTAGCTCTTGCGAAAACTTTCAACACTCCTGATGACTTTAAGCTTGCTCTTTTGAGATACTCCTTAAAGACAAGGTATGACATTAAACTCTATAGGTCTGAAGCTTTGATAGTTGCTGCTAAGTGTTGCTATGTTGGTGATGATGGTGTTCCTTGTGGCTGGAGAGTCTATTGTTCATATGAGAAAACAAAACATAAGATGCAAATAAGAGCATATGACAGTGAGCATATATGTGTTAGGTCAGGATATTCTAAGATGTTGAAGCGGTCTTCAATTGCATTATTGTTTGAGGAAAGGCTGAGAGTGAATCCAAAACTTACAAAGAACGAGATGGTTGCTGAAATTAGGAGGGAATACAACTTGGAAGTAACTCCAGATCAGTGTGCTAAGGCGAAGACCAAAGTGCTGAGAGCAAGACATGCTAGTCATGATGATCACTTTTCAAGAATATGGGATTATCAAGCTGAGGTTTTAAAGCAGAATCCAGGGACAGAGTTTGAGATAGAGACAGTTCCAGGGCCTGTTATTGGAAGCAAGCAGAGGTTTTATCGGTTATATATATGTTTTAAATCTCAAAAGGATTCTTGGAAGCAAACTTGTAGACCTGTGATAGGGATCGATGGAGCCTTTCTGAAATGGGATATAAAGGGTCATCTTCTTGCTGGTGTTAGAAGGGATGGCGATAACAGGATTGTTCCTATAGCTTGGGCAGTTGTAGAGATAGAAAACGATGATAATTGGGACTGGTTTATGAGACACCTCTCTGCTAGCTTGGGACTCTGTGAAATGCAACATCTAGCTATCATCTCAGATAAACAGTCGGTTAGTTTTCTTGGTTTATTTGTTTGCTTATGGTTTTAAGTCTTCTATGAATGGTTTTCAGCTTATTTTCTTGTGTTTTCTTATGTCATTTCTGCAGGGTCTAGTCAAAGCTATCCATACCATACTCCCAGAAGCTGAGCATCGACAATGTTCAAAGCATATAATGGACAATTGGAAGAGGGACAACCATGATATAGAACTAACACGTCTCTTTTGGAAGATTGCCCGCAGTTACACCACAGAAGAGTTCAACAATCAAATGGAAGAGCTTAGGAAGTACAATCCTCAAGCTCATGCAAGTCTTCAGCTTACTAGTCCAATGACATGGTCAAGAGCCTTCTTTAGAATAGGGACATGCTGCAATGACAACCTCAATAATCTCAGTGAGTCTTTTAATAGGACTATTAGATAGGCTAGGAGAAAGCCTTTGTTGGATTTGCTAGAAGACATCCGGAGGCAATGCATGGTGAGAACTGCAAAGAGGTATATCATTGCTGACAGATTGAAGACAAGGTTCACAAAGAGAGCCCATCTTGAGATTGAGAAAATGATAGCTGGGGTTGGAAATTGTGAGAGATATATGGCCAGAAACAATTTGCATCAAATAGAAGTGAATGGTGTTAGTTACTTTGTAGATATGGAGAAGAAAACTTGTGGTTGCAGGAAGTGGCAGATGGTGGGGATCCCTTGTATTCATGCGGCATCTGTGATAATAGGAAAAAGAGAGAAAGTTGAAGACTATGTCAGCGAGTATTATACAAAGGTAATGTGGCGAGAAACATATAGGGATGGTATTAGGCCTGTCCAAGGGATGCCATTGTGGCCTAGAACAAATAGGTTGCCTGTCTTGCCACCACCATGGAGAAGAGGCAACAGAGGAAGGCCTAATAATCATGCTAGGAGAAAGGGAAGAAATGAGACTGCTTCTTCTTCTAATAAGAACAAGATGTCACGGGCAAAGAGAATCATGACATGCTCTAACTGCCTGCAAGAAGGGCATAACAGGCAAGGATGCAAAAATGCAACAGTCTTGAATCCACTACCTAGACCAAGAGGAAGACCAAGAAAAAGGCCGGTATGGTTTTAAGCTTTTTATGTTTTATAACTCACTGAATTCATGTGTTTTCTGTTTTACAACTCATTGTTTCATGTGACAACTCACTGAATTTATTCTGATTTTTGGTAGGCGCCAGAAGTGCTTGCAACATTTTCTAGTCAAGCTCACCCTGGATCACAAGAGCAAGTGCAAGGCTCACAAGGATCACAACCTCATCTTGGCTCACAAGGACAAGGGCAAGGATCACAAGCTCATCTTGGCTCTCAACAAGGATCACAACCTCATTTTGGATCACAAGGATCACAAGCTACATCAGGGCATCGATCACACGGTGCACAAGCTCATCAAACGCATGGAGCAGATTCACAAATTCAACCAGAAGCACAACCAGAAGGACAAGGACTTGGTAGATTTGCATCATGGTTTCAGTGGTCCACTTGATAAAGATTTTCTGAAGTTATTTTGTTTCTGAACAAAACCTTTCTATCGGAGTATTTTGGTCTGTTTGAACCTAACTTGTTGTTGTTTGGTTTTTCTACGACTTGTATTGTTCTTTCTGACTTGTATTGTTCTTTTTGTTTAGTTGTATGAATGGTTGTTGGTCTTTCTGACATAACTCTTATTGATCAACAGAAGACAAATTTGTATTTCCATTACCAAAAGCACAACTCACAAGGATCACAAAGCCATAATAGCATTACATTAAAGCAAGACACAACACTAAAGACACAAACAACTAAAACTCATACCAAACAACTAAAACTCATACCAAACAACAAAGAAACTAGTAACCTAAAACAAGATTCTGGTTTTTGAGACCAAACAACAGTAAGATCACAATTGCAGTAACAGTTAAACAAATGCAGACCAACCACAATTTGATTCTCTTAATTTCTCTTTTGCTCCACGTTCCATCTTCCTTCAATTCATTGATCATACACTTTAACTCTGCAATCTCGATTGAAACCTCACATTTGGCATTGTTTATTTCATTGTCAGTGCTGGAGATTTTCGGCTTAGCGTCTACAACCTCTTCGTAGACACAATCTTCAACCCATTTAAACAAATGGCCCTGCGATCACGTTGAAAATGTATTACCGACCAAACCAAAAAAACACTAAATCAAATCTACTTACATCATTCAAGGTTGGACAACGGAAGAACGGTCTCCCTGGGTTCTGCTTCGTCTTCGATGTGAGAATGACAACGTCTAAGCCGCAGTGACACTTTGAAGGAAACCCGCGGAACTCGCAACCTCCATCTTGAACACACGAATTGCAACTCATATCTCTGGTAGAATTGGAGAATTCGATAAAAAAAACAAGATTTCGAGCTCAAAAGGAAGATAATGCTGCGAATTGCTGAGAATTGAAAATTTTAGGGTTTGAAATTGAATTGGGGATTTCTCAGAATTGGGGATTCTTCAGCTTTTAGAAGTTTCGATTAATCTCTAAACGACGCCGTTTTGGGCATTAACGGAGGTGTTAACGGGTGTTAACGGGTGTTAGCGGATCTGTTAACGGCTTGGTGTTTTGGCGTAGTCAACGATTTTGTAATGTGCTAAATGGAAGTCAACGTATTTGTCATGTTTAAATTGGCCCCTTATGAAGTTGGTGTGGTAAATGGCCACAATTTGAAAGTTGGGCTATTAAATGACATTTTTCCCAAAAAAAATTAATACATTTTAGATAGAGTTCGCCCTAGCCGCTTCTCTCTCTGGCACAATCTCCGAGGTTTAGTTTTCCGGCGACGTCGGCGTTCGCTGGCGTCGCTGAACCTTGTTTTCGCTTTCTCCTTCGTCCCCTCTGCTTGTTGGTTATGGTCGTGTTGTGTTCGGTGCTCGTCGGAGGTTCTTCTCCGAGTTTCTCTTCTCCTCTGGCTCCATCTGTTTCTTCTTGTTTTGTGACGAGGCCGCCTCCTCCTCTTTGTCCATCCACTCTCAATCCGTACCGGCAAAGACCCTTTGGCTATACTTCCAGCCGGGATTCGTCTCGGGCTTTCTTCCCGATAATCTCTGATTCCTTTGGCGTCGATGCTAGCTGTCAACCGCCGTCGCCTCGTGCCTTTGCATCAGAACCCTTGGTGGCCCGCTCCACTGAAGCATCCCTCCTTTCACTTGGTTTTAAGCACCCGACGAGATCGGCTTGTCTCCCCGTCGGTCGATTTGGCACCGCCAGCAAGATCTCTGGCTCTATTGGCGTTTTAGATCTGCTTTCCATGTCCTTCCTTTCGGTTACCACGGTGTTTCTTTCTATGGTCAACCCTCCAGTTCTACTCGTTTTCAAGCTGCAACTTTTAGTGCTGCCTCCGGTGTCTTCAATTCTTGCTCCGGTAGGGTCTCTCCCCATCCCCGACTATTTATTTGGATATACTTCTATCCATTGCTCACTTTGGATTGGATATACTGCTATCCTCCATCCACTTTTGAAGCTTCAAGCCGCTCAGCCTCGTCTGACTCAATCATCCTCCTGCCAATTCCAGGAGAGATCTCTCGCTTCATTCTCCTTGTTATCGGAGAGAAGCACCCATCCACCATCCTTGTCTCCATGGCGGTTATGTTGTTGCGCTTGTGTCGTGCGGCCTCCCCATGTTTTGAAAGGATGCTCCTTAGAGACCTCGTTCTCTGGTGGTTTCAACGGCTCATCAGTTCGGTGCTTCGTCACCTCTGTCTTAGCAGCTAAATTTAGGAATGTCTTGTATGCCCTAGTGGCAGATTCAATCTCGAGCAACATAACACCTTGTGTGTTTTGTGTTGTCCAAGGTGTCATCTCACTTATTCGCTCTAGTGATATCACTATTAGGATTGCTTTGATCTATCCCTCTATCTGGTTTTATATTGTCTTCTGGTTTGCTTTTGGATTAGGGAGTTTGTTAGCTTTCGCTCCTCCCCTTGTAACAGTTCCCTCTCTTGAGGATGTTTAGTATAATATAAAATCTTGGTGTACAAAAAAAAAACAGTGTATATTACTTGGTCCACAAGTTAAATATCTTGCTTTCCAAGTTATCTCCAATAGTAATCAAGCCATCTTTAATAGCATCACTATTCAATGACAATCAATTTCTACATACTTAGTCATTTCATAAAAAACTGGATTTACCGTGATGTGAATAGCGGTCTTGCTATATAAAAAAAATGTATTGGTTTAGGAGGCGGAAAACCCATATCACTTAACAATTGGCGAAGCCATTTGACCTTTCTTGTGGCTTTAGACATTGCAAGATATTCTTCTCAAGCGGAAGAATGTGATACTACTTTTTACTTTTTTGTTTTCCAAGAGATAGGCGACCCGCCAAGAAGAGAAACATGTTTCAAGCAGCTCAATTTGCATTTCAGTACACAAAAAGCTCAGGTTTAAGTCAGCTCACAACAAAATTCCTTGATTAGCTGTTCTTTTGAGAAAACGCACCACTCTTACCAAGGCATCCACGAGGCGTTTGCATAAATTGAGACAAGACATGAACATAATAAGAAATATCAGGTCTTGCATTAGCAAAATAAATTAAATTCCGAACCAATCTTTTATTGCTCGCTGGATTAGAGAGAACGTCACTTGTATCCCGATGGTTTTGTTCCGTTGGAGTATGAACTCGTTTGGAACCGACTAAGCTTGTCTCCGCTACAATATCTAAGGCATACCTTCTTGACTTCGAGCAATCTCAATTACATAAAAATATTTGAGTTTGTTAATTCATATGAAAATACTCTCCGAGATAAGTACTCTTGAATTTGACCAAGGCAACGTTGTGAACCAAATTTTCAACATCAATCACCACGAGAATAGCAAAATAATGAATAATATGCATATGAATGGATGAATCCCGCTTTAACAAGCTTCTTGAACCAAGACCATGGTGCTTGACGCAAGCCGTAAGAAAACCTTGTGTAAGCGACACACCTTTGACGGATCAAAATGCAAAAAACTAGCGGAAATTTCATATAAATCACAATGAATAAAAGCGTTGTGCACATCCACTTGATGTATCTCCCAATTATGCGTGGTAACAAACCTCAACATACACCGAACAATGATCAATTTAGCCAATGGAGCAAAAGTTTCCTGAAATTCTTTCTTTTATTCTTGATGATTTTCGAGAACAACTGAGCGTGCCTTGTATCTCTCAGCGGTACCATCAGCAAGATACTTGAGTTTGTAAGCCCATATTAGCAAATGCAAATTTTCAATATTCCAAGTTTTGTTCTTCTCTAAAGCTTCAACTTTCGACCCTATCGATTTAGTCCATCTTTTATCTTTGACTGCTTCTTTGTACCTTCTAGGTTTGCGTTATGCCTTTACAGCAAACGTCATGTGCTTTACAGAAAAATGTGAATCAGATATAAAATCTGTAAGTGAGTATAAAAAATTACCTTTGACAGAAGAAGACCCTGCAATGAGATGGGAGAAAATGTGAGGGGTATGAGCTTGTTTAACGGAGTTGTACGTCACACGACCCTTTAACCTCACTGATGAGATAACTTTTTTTCTAACCAACACCCAAAATTTATTCTTCTTGGGACGATGCAACCACGATCCAACGAAAAGTTTACTTTACTATTTACAAATACACTAAATAAATTAATTTCTCTTTTTTTATTAATAAACTGAAATAATAGGGATAAAAATATTTTAGATTACAAATTTGTATGGAAAATACAAATGGCTCTCAATATTTTTTGTGAAACGGAAGGAGTAACATGTTGTTGTTTTTTACAAAGAATTAACGATATATATTTTCAACCAATTCATGACTGATTCAAGATAACTTAATAGGAAGTATCAATGAAGTATGTACCGAACCGCATCATATCACTTTATGTAAACAACATTTCCCAGGAATGGTTCTTTTGATTTTTTTAAAAAAATGAAGTTTTTAAAAAATAAATGGAAAAACTACTTAAGTTTCAATTTGAGTATCAGATTAGTGGATATAGTTATGATTATATAGGTTAAGTCCATTTACTTTTTGTTTGGAATTGTAAATTTCTTATCTAAATAAAATGACGAAAAAATTTTTATCCTTGGTTGTTAAAAAAATGGATATTTAACTAGGTGGGTAGTTTTTAAGTTTGTATTTAACAAAATGGGTAGTTTTAATTAGGGTTTAGGTTTTAGGTAGATTACCTTTTATCTCCAACCATTAAACCAAAGAATGATTAATTAATATCTGGTTTAATTAACTCATGGTTTAACCAATTTAAACCAGGAAGCCCTTATTTTTCTTTTGAGAAGTGACGCTAGCCTCCTCTTTTTCGCCTGTGTCGTGACCTGCCGAGAAAAAGAGAGAAAGAGAGCTGGTTAGTGTGATAAAGAGGGAGAGGTTGAAGTTTGGTGAAGGAAAAGAGAGTCAGACAGAACACGTTTTGGTAGAACAGAGTTTCGACGTATCAAATCGTTTCTAAAGGAGACAAATTTTCAGGGATTATAGGTAAGACTTATATCTAGTTATAGCCTTTTACGGATATTGATTCGAGTATATTATAAGAGTTATATCTGTTTTCGTGAGCTCTTCTGTTTAAGACGCGATTTGGACCCGTGTATGTTCAAATAGAGATTGCGAGCGAACCCTTTTTCCGATCGTCATGAAATATTGTGGGTAGCTTCAGGACACCTAGGGGAATATTTTCAACGGTAGGATTTGAAAGTGGACGCTTAGATCTGGTTTCGTGATCCAATCTTTCAGGCTGACAATTCTGTGATTTTCCAAGAATTTTACAGTTGGGTTTAATTGATGTTTTGATTGTTGTGGTTGGCTATTAGGGTGATTTGAGATACTGTTTACGTGAGGAAGAAGTCAACTGTGGTTCTTTGGTGTTGTTCTTCTTCAAAAATCATTCCTCAGGTGAAGTGAGTGCGTGACCATGAGCTTATCTAAGCGATTGGGATTATGTGATTGTTTGTTTTGATGTGTAGGTGGGGTTTTTGATGGATCCAGAATTGAAATCCGTGAGATGGTTGTGGTATGGGATGATTGTCATTGGCTTGATTTGTTTTCATGAATTATGTGTTGATATGTGGTCTTAGTTGCTTGTGTGTATACCTCGTAGATGGGAGGATCACCTCACTAAGTATTTATTGAAATACTTATGCATCTCTTTTCTTAGTGCAGATAAAGATAAAGTGTGACCGTAGAATCATGGCAAGGATAGGAGGATGATCTAGGGTTTCGTTGGTGTTAGTTTATTATTTTTTGTATGATGGATTTTTGGATTATTAGTTGTTATATAATTTGTTTGTTTATGTTGCTTAAATTATAACAAGTTCAATTTGGATTTTTGATTTGAGTTGTGTTGGTCTTGGCATGATTTTTAATTGGAAAAAATTAATTAATATTTATGGGGATATTAGTTAATTAATTTTTAAAAAAAGGATCGGGTTGTTTCAAGATAATTTGGCACGAAAGATTTTTATTGTAATTATATCACATATATAAACAATATTTCTCAAAAGTGGCTCTCTTGAGCTCTAACTAGGATTTAATCCGCGGTACACCGTGGAAAAAGTTTTTATTTTATTAGTTTTCAAATTAGTATTAGAATTATATCATTTAATTTCTAGCGCTTTTATATTTAACCCGTTTTACATGCAATTTAGTATTGTAATTATAAATTTAGATATGTCAAAAGTCATTAACAATTCCATTTAATTCATTTTCTATCGAATTAATACTAATTCTGATCCGCTCCACCAATTAAGATGATGCTAATGTCCAAAATGTCTCTTTATATACTATATAGTAATATAATGGATGGAATAGATGAGTATTTATATTAACATTTTTCAAGTACAAATTTCTTCAATTTTGCGGATTGGTTTTTTTTTTTTAATTTTGGCCCAAAAATCTTCAGTCGAATCATTCCTTAAATTTTGGCACACCCTAAAAACGAAATTAGTTAAAAAAAATTAAAAATATATTTTTTCTCAACTAATTACTATAATCTAATGTAGTTCAATACGTTTTTAGATATTGACCAAATTTTCCAATAATTTTTTTAAGATATTTTTGAAGATTTTATTTCCAAATACATTATTTCTTATTAAAAAAAATTGTCAAGTAAATTAGTTGACATATATATTTCGAGTATATATATATCAACAAAAACAAATTTCAAAAAAACACATGAAAAATGATGGATTAAAAAATCAAATGTTAGAATATGTACAATCCAATAAAATAATGATGGAATGTGTAGACTGTTTTCTACAAAGAATTGATTAGATTTGTGATCATTTGAAATTGTCTTACAAAGAATAGAATCATAGTACAGTAAAACTTCTATAAATTAATAATGTTGGGACTAAGAAATTTTATTAATTTAGATAGGTATTAATTTATCGATAAATGAATAATTATTAATTTATAGAGAGAATTTACTAATTTTGTAATTTCTTTAAAAAATTTCTATCTAAAATAAATTTTTTTTTATAAACAATATTTTTTAAAAACTAATTACAAGTAGAGAAACAATCATTAAGTTTAAAAAACAACACAAATTTTTCGAATAATAGAGTATATTTCATCAAATTTTTTACATAAATTTTTTTAAAATATATATCATAGTAATTCATATATAACATATATAAATTTATATAATATATATATATATATTGATAAGTTAATACAATTATTAATTTATGATATAGATGGGACTATATGTTTACATGAGATTTTCAAAAAAAATATTATCTTATTAATTTATCGATTTATGTCATATTTTACACTGGTCCCAACTCGGGACCGGAATAATTTTTACTCCAATGTGTTCTTCTATTTTTTCTACTTTATAGACGAAAAAATAGAGAGCCTCTATATATAGAGCAAAAAAATAGAGATCTCTATTTTAGAGGTGAAAATAGAGATCTCTATTTTAGAAGTGAAAATAGAGGTGGGTTGGAGTAAATTTGCCTTTAAAACAGAGTTTAGAGTCAAATATAGAGGTGGGTTGGAGATGTAGCGAAGAAGAAGGTGAAATAGTGAAATCGATTCTCTTCCGGTGTTATTGATAATATGGGTTTACAAAACACGGCCCTGATAGAA